TTTATGTTTGAAAATATGTACCTAACAATTAATTAGTTTTCTCTTTGAAATGTAATATAATATAGTTATACTAGTACTCAACAAGGATTTTATAAAAAAATTTAACAATAACCACATTTTGACAAGAACCAAGAAAATGTAAAGTCATCTTGCAAACCAATTTTATATTTAACGAAATTCGATATTTTTTATAAATTCACACACAAATAAAGTTTATCGAGTACTTAGATATAAAATTAACTCAATTAAAAATAATTTTTCAACGGCACTTTTTATTCAATACCATACACTTTAATTCCTATTTATGTTTTCCGTTAAATAATACTTTTATAATATAATTATTTTTGTATAATATTTTCCTAAGCAATCATAAAACAATTTTACAGTATTAAATTTTAATTTATTCGTTTAATTTGATATATTCGATACGCAATTATAGACAGTGTTATTGAAGAATATTTCCAAATTGCTTTAATTATTATCAAAACATAAAAAATATTATATAATACTGGCCGACAAAATAAATTGTTCCGAAAATCATGTATTTTTAAGAAAAAAATCGATTTTAAGCTAAAATTTGACAATTTAAAAAAGTGCTGATACACGAACAATGTACGTATATCCGATGAAGTTTCCTAAATTTGTAGCAACATTTATTATGTTAAAATTTTAACCCAAATAAATAAAAATTGGCAAAATGGAGCTTAAAACAACCGCGCGTGTCAAAATTGGTAGTTAAGGCCGGTCTACATTTGTTGCAGAACGTCAACCAATCACAGTGCTTAGTATGTCCATTTTAAGCACTTTGATTGTTTGACGTAAGACTTAAGACGTAAAGATACATTCTGCGACAATTGTAGACCGCTCCTAACGGTCATTTTCGCTCCTGGCGCAAGCACGACTCCTTAAATAAATTATGTGAACAACAGTAATCAATAAATGTTTCATCTAATATATCTTAAAGTTTTTTGACATTTAGTTTAGTATGAAAAACATTAAAAGTGGAATGGATCTTTGATCAACGATGACGTTGTTATTTTTTGACGTTGACTTGATTGTCATAGCATAAAAGCAGTCAAGTTATACTGAATGAAATAGTCAAATTAGCAGATTTAAATTTAAAAAAAGTTTTGACCCAGCCGGGAATTGAACTCAAGTCTGTCACTTGTCAAGCTATTGTCATAACCCATTCGGCTGTCAGCCGCTCTAATAAAAATCAATTTTATTTGTCAATAAATATTTGTGTTGCTGTTTTGAGCTAAACTTTTTGCATCTTTATTTGTTTTTATCGGTCATTTAACCATGGAGCTTAGGTATATGCATTTAATTCAAATAATACTTTGTTGTTGGTCGCAAACGATTAAAGAAATTAGTTACTTTTAACTCTCAGAAATAGTCAAAGATAGTGACTAATCTTAAATTAGACAAACTTTAACTATTTACGTAGTAAAAAATAACTATTTAAAAGTGAAAACGACTATTTTATAAGTAAAAAATGCTGGTACTAATTCAAATATGTAGTAGAATTTTGACTATTTCATTTTTAGAGAGTAAGAAGTCCCAGAAGCCAACTGAATCCACCATTCGACGAATTGTGGCAAAATTTGAGACAACCGGCTCTTTTACGAATCTTCCAACACCTAAGCGTCTTCATAACGCCCGGTCTATTGAGATGATGAAAATCCTACACAATTTCCCGACGTTCGCAAGAATTGGGCCTTTCTCAGTCCTCAGTTTGGCGATCTTGCGCAAAGACTTAGAATTACACCCCTATAATATCCAGCTGACCCAATCATTTTAGCGATAAGGCTCATTTTTGGTTAAAAGTCTTCGTTAATAAGCAGAACTGTTGATTTGAGGTGAAGCAAACACACGAAAGATCGAAAAGCGTTAACTGCATCCAAAGATTACTGTCTGGTATGGATTTTGGTCTGACGGCGTCATCGGTCCTTATTTCTTTGAAGATGAGCAATGCAGAGCGTTGACGGTCAACGAAGAAAGGTACCGAACGATGATACGGGATTTCTTTCGGCCTCGATTGGAGGATATGGATCTGGAAAAGATGTTTTTCCAACAGAATGGCGCCACTTACAATACAGCACGTGAAACACTATACTTGATAGCAGAAAAAATTCCTGGGCCTGTAATTTTACGTAACGGTGATATCAATTGGCCAGCGAGATCATGTGATCTTCCTCCTTTGGATTTCTTTCTATGGGGGTTTGTAAAGAGTATGGTGTATGCAAATAAGCCTCGAACTATTGAAGCACTCAGACAATATCCGAGACGTCATTGGCGAAATTCAACCCGTCAGAAAGTAATCCAAAATTGGGCTTTTCAAATGGACGTAACCCATCAAATCCGCGGAGGCCATTTGCCAGATGTTATTTTTTGATGTCATAATCTAAAAGTAAAACAAAGTCGTTACCTTTTTTGCACCTTCTTCAATTCCACTTTAAAAACTATTACTCTTATTTAAAAACCCTTTATATACACAGAATGGTTACCGACAAATCAAGTAAATTGAAATTATTTCAAAACTCTTAAGTTTAAACTCAAAAGTTCGGTAATCATTTCCAAACAGTTTTCGTGTTGTACATGCGTATTTTAATTTATGTTTACAGAAATTATTTAAGAATGACCGTAACCACCAATTATGACAGGCGCGTTTGATTGTAAAAAAAAATTTCGTTTCATCGTTTGAAACATATTCAAAAACATCAGATGTTGTTTATATATACAAAAGCTTGCAGACAAAGTGCCCTGATATTTAAGTAAAAATTTATTTTCTACCAACACACGCTCAAGTATATTTGCAGTTGTGAATTTCATTCTAGCTCTGCGGAGATATGTAAATAAACACAAAGACCGACTACTGGGTAACCACTCGCCACGTAAGTAACCATTGCCAATGAATAAACAAAATACTTCTTGCATTCTATTTAACAAACAGTGGTAAATAAATGTAGGTACGATCAAGGCTACACGTTTCACATTGGTTTTAGCACGTGCTGTGCCCGCAAACCAGTAGCAATAGGCTTGGGTGGTGCAAGAGTGCGCAAGAACATAACTTAAGGATATGATCTTTTAAGTGCTCCATTTAATTTTTGAATGGAAAGATTTTAGTCAAATCGATATAAAATCATCCCTCATTTGTCAAGCTATATAGTATAATACAGAAATCTAACCTGCGAAGAAAGACAGCCAATTTTAAGGATGTTAAAATGGTAGGACCTTCCTAAGTGAGTTTGTATAAATACTAGACATAAAATTGTACAAATAACAAAAAACCATTGCTTTTACAATAAAAGTATGCAATTTGTTAAAATGTTGTCTTTTTACTGTCCAAAGACATATAGGTATGGATAGACTTAAAATGAAAAAGCGTAAAACCGATTTCTCAGTAATTGCATTTTTTGCGATCGCGAGGGACATAAAGTGCAGCAGTCACAATCGTAAAATAAGTCTAGCATTCACTCGTAAAGCTAGCGCGCGAAAGAAGCGACTTGCGCGAAATAAAAGAACCGAAGACCGAACGAAGAGAATAAAAATCGAAGAAGATAGAAAAAAATAAAAAACGCGAAATGGAGAGCAATAACTCATCGGTTTCTCATCGGCCTCTGCCATGGCCGTGCTCGATTCTTCATATGTGATCTCCCGAAGAGAGCTATCAATGAAGCACAGTGATGCCTTATGCAATTTAAATTTATATATTAGGGTGGCTATATGTTTTTTTATTTTCATTTTAATAACATGTAATAACATTAAAATTTCTACCTAATACGCGAGATTAGCAAAAACGACAAAAGAGTTTCTTTGTAGAGAATATAATTTTCTACAAAAATAGACTTTTAATATTTTTTTATATCAGATATAAATTTGGTTTAAATTAATGCACTTATATCGTTTTTCCGGAAATTTAAAAAAAATCATTGATTGAACTAATTTGTGACTCAATGTTTACGGTGGAACGACCATTAATCTTTTTTTTTTAAATTAGCTCCACAAAAATGGCTTCTTAAGATTTTTCCATATCTCTATTTTGTAGAAAAGTTAATCACATACAAAAAAGTTCTCCTGTCGTTTTTGCGTATTTCTCTTATTTTGTACACTAGAAATTTTCTTTTTAAACATTCTTGTTTTCAAATGAAAAATAAATATATGTATATAGCGTGACCTCTAAATGACATCCAATCGCGCCCAAATTTAACAACTTTGTTCGTAAGATCAAATCCTGTACAAAAAGTACAAGGAGATTTAAAAAAAATTTTTTTTTTAGAGCCACCCTAATATATATTTACTTCATAATATAATATTATTATTAATTATATTACATTGGTTGAATTGACCATGTTGTCAAATTGTCTGGTTAACAACTTTATACTTCTGATATCTCAGAACATGGTATATATACTCTCTAAAAATGAATTAGTCAAAAATTACCAGTATTTTAAAACCTGTTCTACTTTTATACTTTTGACATTTTCGGATTCAGCGGACAATTCCACATAGGAATGGACTGCTAAATGTCCGAGATACAAATTGCTGTTGACAAGAAATATTAGTGGCTGCTTTTTCGCCATGACAATTAGTCATTTTTAACTAATTCATTTGAAGAGAGTAAGGAATGTGAAAGAGAGAATATAATGTTTCTCGCTAATTTGATAACGATCCCTTACAAATTACAAATTTCTTGGAGTATAATTATAATTTTAGCAAAATGTATCACTGTGCGTAACATGGTACTGATTTCTTTAAGTTTATGGCCGCCTTGAACCCAGGGAATATCTTTACTGCCTTTTGCTCCATTAAAACTCATAGCATATCATTCCTTACCGCCAATTATAAGATTTACATGCGTATATATAGTGCCGAAAAAATACAGATATTTATGTCCATATGTCAAACACTGTATCTGAGTACTGAGATTTATAGCTTGGTTATGAGATATAAATTTTTTAAGAGAATAATGTTTTAATAGATATTCTCTTTTGTTTCAGTAATGGAGCTTCCCCTAACATAACCCCACCAACTAGTTACAAATCTACAAAACCCAAATCAAAAAAATGTTTTCGAACGCGACTGTGTCGTCGCGCAGCAGCTCCAGCAGGAGTGCCAACAGCTGCAGTCGAAATTCTTCCATGCCTTCGCTTCGCATGCGCAACCCTCTGTCGCCGAAAACTTCCTACAACCCCCTCTTCAGGCACTCGGACGCACTAACGAGTTTCGATGCCTCGCATTTCGTGTTTCAAGAGCAGAAAATCGAGAAAATAAGGAGGAAAGACAAACATCCAATATTGAGAAGGTAATATTTTATATCAAAATTAAAACTGACCCCTTAGTTTATTTGGGTTCCATATCAATATGAAATCCTATCTGATGTAAACACAATGTAGATTTGACATCAAATACTAAACATTGTTACCTACTTTTAAACTTAACTGTATCTTCATTTTTCGTTTTAAAATAAAATTCTTGACCAAAATTGTATTTTTTCTCTAGATATAATTCTCATGATTCTCATACGAATTTCGACATTCGTATAGAAGAATCCAAGGATTCGACACCAGAATCGACGAAGAGTCGAATAACGAGTTTATCCGGATCAGATAAATCATCGAATGATAGGAAGAGGAATAGGGAGTATGAAACTAGAGACTTCTTGGAAAGGTAAACCACAACAAAAATGCAAAATTTGATCTAAATATTGTGCTCTTTGATTCAGATATTCCTTACCAAGGGTAGTACGAGTTGGTGATAGTGAACCTTTGCTGCTGTATAGGTGTTTTGATAGTTTTACGAAAATACAGGCCAGAGGAGTGCTTGGGAAAAAGGGAAAGGAGAAAATTGATGACATCACCTTGCATTTTCCTGAAGGGTTTTCAGGTAAGAACTACTTTTTTAAGAGATCCCACATAAAAAAGTCCTGAACCATAATATGATTATTAAATAGTTTCATATAGAGCTATAACCACATTTTTAAAATCATTATTATTTTTATCAATATTATAGTTTTTTTAGTTCAGTCGTTCATTGTTTATTATCATAGCTTTTAGATAGCCACTAAAAAAGTCTAGGTGCGTTAAATTGCCAGACCTTGGTGGCCAGCTAACATCACCACCAAGTAAAATTATCGATCTCTATCTAGTTGCTTTAAATTTGGTAATAATAAACGTCTCTATTGGATGTTTAACACAATCTATATTTATGCAAGACATTAGATAAAAACTAGCAATTTGTAATTTTTTATTAAAGCTTAGTAGAACTGACTGTAAATATACACTCACAGGCAAAATAATCGATCCACACAAATTTTCGATGAATTTCAATCGCAAATAACTTTTTTATTTGATGTCGGATTTAAACGAATATTAAAGAATATTGTAGATAAATTAATGGACAATCGCTCACATATTAAAAAATTACTAAAAAATGGACGTACGTTTATAACATACAGGTTTAAACAAAAAGATGTTTTTTACCATAAGTTTAAGACACTCTGTAGAGTGGCAAAACCGTATATTGTTCTAAATTAAGTTTTATTTATCAAGTCACATCTATTCTTAATAGTTTTGTTTTTGGTTCACCTCGATATATTTATTTTTGTCAAAAATATGGATTTTTTAAAAAAACATTGTAATATCCAATATTTTTCTGTATGAAGAACTAAGGTTGCTATGGTCCATCCATAGGCTATGGAGAATGACAGTGACAGTTTTGTTGAATCATCCCATACTTGGACATGTCATACACGGCTTTCAAAGGCAAATTAATGTTTAAATTTTGAGGTGTCTTCTTACTTTAAAAAATGGATATGTCTCCGACTGATGTTGCCAGAGCCATTAATTTAATCCAGGATGGACGGTCACAGTATTACGTGGCAAGTGTTTTAAAGGTCACAAGAAGTAAAGTACAAAGGGCAACATCAGTCGGAGACATTTTTAAAAGTAAGAAGACACCTCAAAATTAACACATTAATTTACAAAAAAAAATTGATACCTTTTAAAAGCTGTATGTGACATGTCCAAGTATGGGATGATTCAACAAAACTGTCACTGTCATCACTCCATAGGCTATGGAAGGACCATAGCATCCTTAGTTCTTCATACAGGAAAAATATTGGAAATTGCAATGTTTTTTTAAAAAAATTCATATTTTCCACAAAAATAAATATAATAATAATAATAATAAAACTTAATTTAGAACAATATACGGTTTTGCCACTCTACAGAGTGTCTTAAACTTATGGTAAAAAACATCTTTTTGTTTAAACCTGTATATTATAAACGTACGTGTATTTTTTAGTAATTTTTAAAATGTGAGCGATTTTCCATTAATGTACCTACAATATTCTTTAATATTTGTTTAAATCCGACATCAAATAAAAAAGTTATTTGCGATTGAAATTCATCGAAAATTTGTGTGGATCGATTATTTTGCCTGTGAGTGTACATATGAAGAATGATATCGGAATTATAGGATATCCGTATTAAATGACCCTTTACATGTATGAGAGGGTGCCAGCATGTGTTGTGCATGGATATAGCAACATTGTCGCGACAATAGGAAGAAGAAGAAGAGGTTCTTGATCGTTGTCGGCAGGCACGCCCACTAGATACAGGCACAGGGCACGGGTGGGTTGATAACACGAAGGTGGGTCGCGAAACATTTTGTTAGATTGTGTCGCGGAACGACGAGAGTGAGACAACGTAGTTACTACATGTAGCTAAATCGCAAACTATAATCAAAAGCCAGGCCCGAGTTGTCCGTATCGTTGTTTATCTTCTTGAGCCGGCCATGAAGACCGTTACCCTCATTTTTTTAGATTTTGAGATATATTCTGGTGACATTGTATACTGTTGGTCATGGTAATGTTGGTCAATTATATAAAAAAGTACCTATTTATAATAATAATAATAATAATAATAATAACACTTTTGTCTCAAACTCTATCCATAAGACCCCCATTGTTTTATAATAATTAATAAAACAAAATACTTCAGAATTCGTTTTTTATTTGTTTAGATTTAATTTAATTTTATTAATATTAAACTTAAACAACTTTTTGGCGTAGTCAACTCAAAAAATTCTTCAATTAATACTAATACTAGTTTCCTTAACAGCACCCAAACTTGATATAGCATAGCTACAAGTTTCTTTTGTTCCTGGCGCTAAAGCAGAATCACCGAAAATTACCGATTTTCTATTGAAGAACTCGTACTTGCAATATTCATTTTACTTGACACCTTGTCCTCAATGTAGTCCTCTGCTATGGCGCTTGATTCTGTATTAGCCATTGATCATCCACTATGTCTACTGAAAGATTCTGTTCTGGTAGTTTAAAAAAAATGTACTTTTCATAGAATTTTTTGACAAACTGTTAATACCAACAGGTAGCACAGTGCATTTTCCATTTCCATCGCAGAAAGAAACTCTCCGTGGTGACTTGTTCACGACGTAAACTTATATATTTCTTACAAATTTTTTTTTAAGGCTATAAGTTATAACTGTACAGAAAAAACGCTAGCATAGTATGAATGGGTGAGCCATTAAACCAATGGGATCTTGTAATCCGTATTCCTGAATAACAGTTCCTATAATACCAATAGGTAGTTAGCACTTGGTTTATAATCGTTTACTGTTTTTAAATTAACAACAAAAGTTATCGGTCCTAAATCTATTGATATTCATATTGATATTTATTTGTTAGAATGTTAGAATGTTATTGCATTAAATACTAATTTGATTTATTTAATAACGTTACTATTGTATGAATACTATGTATACATTTAACGCAATAAATTCTTTGACATTTAGGCAAAATATTTCCCTATTTTGGTTTAATAGTAATTAATTGAGCAAATAACAATTCAGATTGCTTCAATTTTAATGCATTCAATGACAGCCCTGTTCTTGGTACTATGTTAGATTTTTTTCTGTGTGAGAAACCTTTATCCACAATGATCAATCTGCAAGCAATATTTGGTCTTGTCAGGGATTGAAACATGAAACCCCTTATCCAGTATATTCCCTATAAGTTCGTCAATTTATAACATGGCAGAGTACCAGAAATGCCCATAACTAGCAACCTAGAATATTTCACATTAAGCCTTTGCCACGTTTAAAAACAACTGTATTGTATACCTTCATCCCAACCCAACCAAACCCTGGCCAAAAATTCATGTGTGCGTTTGAGAACCTTGGCTTTTTTCGGTTTGGGGGCAAATTATTTCTTCATATTTAGGAAATATGCCAGAAGCACCTCCTCATTTTTTAAATTCCTTCTTCGGCAGGAGCTGCAAACACGCTTCATGGGCTTCTTTCAGGACCGGAGCAACCTATAGGCAAATTAGGCAAAAGTCAGGGGGCGGCAAAATCAGGGAGCGGAAAAAATCATTTGTCAAAAATGACTAATTTAATAGTTATTAGTGGCTGCTTTTTCACTTGTAATACCATGGTTTCCCAAAATTTAACAGCCAATTCTTATGTAAAATTGTTCCCTGAATCCGAAAATATCGCCAAAAGGTAAAAAAGTAGAACAGTTTTTGAGATATAGTCAATTTTCCAATTAATATGGAATTGATTATAACGCAAAAACTGCTCTACTTTCATAATTTTTGACGGTATTTTCGGATTCAGGGACAATTTTACATAAGAATTGGCTGTTGAATTTTGGGATACCATGTTATACAAGTGATAAAGCAGCCACTAATAACTATCAAATTAGTCATTTTTGACTAATTCATTTTTAGATAGTATAAAGCTTCTTTATTAAAGAAATTTAATTTAAAGAAAATTAATTTTTATTTTGCAATTCTCGACACTGGGATAACATCGGTAACTAAAAGATTTACTCAGACAAATTAAATATCATCAATTTCGGGTTTTTATCTATGAATTAAAAAATATGACTACTAAGAGTATTTAAAATCGTTGTCTTAAACTACACCTTTTCCAGTTGATATTCAGAAATTACAAATAGTATTCAGACAGTAACAATTGTAATTCAGAATATGTCAATTGAAATTCAGAAATTAATAAATGATAACATTTTCATACTTCATTTTACTTATTTTCTAAAATCTCAATTTAATGTATTTCTTTGTATATTGCTTTGTTTCCATGGAATTGACAATAATAAACAAATTTATCACCATTTAAGTAGTTATATTTGTCATAATTGTCAATTTATTGCAAGTAAGGACCGAATTTTGTTCATTTGTCCTTTATATAACATTCATTTACTTAGTTAATAAAGATAACGTGTACTTTCATTCATCATCGATTTACTGTATGCAACCCACTGTTCCTGAAACAATTGCTGCGGTTGAATTACATTTGATTTAATCTGAAAAACATTTGCTACTTTCTGAATTACAATTGCAAGTTTTTGAAAATCAATTGTGTTATCTAAATTACAATTGCTACTTTCTTAAAATCAATTGTGTTATCTGAATTACATATGCTACTCTCTTAAAATCAATTGGAATAGCTGAATTACAATTCCTACTATCTGAATATCAACTGGAATAACTGAATTACAATTCCTTCTTTCTGAATATCAACTGGAAAAGGTGTAGAAGAAATCCTAAAATATAAGAATTTCAAAGATATTGATGCTAAGGAACTCTGTGAGCTGCAAGTGATCGCTAGATGCATAGAGCCAAAGGCTACACCGCAAAAAGTTTTAAATTTTTTTGTGAGTACAAACAAAGAGATTTTGCCCAATTTAATAACAGCATTGCAAATTTTGTTGACGCTTCCTGTATCGGTAGCCAGTGGCGAACGTAGTTTTTCGAAACTAAAATTAGTAAAATCATATATAAGATCGACAACAAAACTGGATAGACTTGTAGGACTTGCAACCTTATCAATAGAGAAATATA